CTGCCTTGTGATTCTAGCGGGGCTTGATCAATCAAGGGTTTAAGGCTCTCTGTTTTATCGCTGTATCCATTATCCTACAGGCTGCCCACAACAAATCGCCTTGATTATTGTGGTCCGATTGCGTTGTTTAATTAATGAGGTGTTGTCTATAAAATTAAAGAAGCCAAGCCTGAACATGCAATTGCACTCTATCCACGCAAAAGTATTTACTTAACATTTTAAAGATGCTTACGTGTGAAATAGAACACTGGATATGCTAATTTACTCTATCACCCTCCATTTGTATAAAGTAGTCGCTGTAAGTTTTTTCGTTATTACTTGACATCAAAACGTTGTATTGAATTTATTTTGCTCATCTTTATTCTTAGATCTACAGTTCACATCAGAAATTGAGGCTGGAAACAAGACGACACAATTGAAGGTAATCATTTTACCAATAGAGGAAGGATCAAATTTTTGCAGTATGCAAAAGTAGAATCTATTCGGAATACTTTAGCCGCAAGGGATGTGTTTGCATTCTTATGGACGAATCTGGAGTTGCTGTAAGTTTGGCTTTTCGAGGATGAAGCCTTAGCCTTCTTCACTCTTGTTCGATGAATTGAATTTTCCAGAAGAGTCGCATTATGTGACCGTGACGCTAGGCAAGCTAATCACAACACAATTTTGGTCATTAATTTTTGAGATGCTTGGTTTCTAAAGGCAGTTATAAACTTCTTTGGAGCTATTTAATATCTGTCTACTGAACCACATTTTCACGAACAACCTCATATTTTTCCTGAAATTATTTTCAGATCATGGTTTCTTATATGAGTTGCTTTCACCAATTTTGTTATGTCAAAGGAAGCAAAAAATCTTATCCACATCCTTGAGTTCATTGTGTATAATTTCATTAGAATAACTATTGTTGAGCATAATACTAAAATTAAGCCTTTTATATTTCGCATCAATTTGTTTTATTTCAAGTAAAATGACCATTGATTCCTTCATTACTTTAGGTATTTCACTGTTCATATACTATATATTTTTGAGGATCTTCATATAGTTTTC